CAGTGCATCCGCCTGGTTGTTTTCTGATCTCGGCACTTGGATCAGCTGGAAATCCTCAAGGGAGCCGACTGCTTGTCGGACCGCCTGTAAATATTTGATCATGGCCGGATGGGTTGCTTCGTATTCGCCATTGTACTGACTCACTATCAATTGTGAATCGGAACAGGCGTCTATTTTTCTTGCCCCTGCCGCCTTGCACATGCGGATTCCGGCTAGTAAAGCTTCATATTCTGCCTCATTGTTTGAGGCCTGAAAACTGAAGCGTAGAGCATACTCGTACCTGTCGCCCTCCGGCGACTGACATATGACGCCTGCTCCACAACCATTTGAAGTAGAGCTTCCGTCCACATATACCTTCCAGACTTGGTCTGGAACTTGAGAGTCAGGGGGACGAGTCATCTCAACAATAAAGTCAGCAAAGGCTTGCCCCTTCACTGCTTTTCTAGACTCGAAAGTAACTTCGAGGCTCTGAATTTCTATGGCCCATTTGATCATTCGGCCTGACGACTCCATGATGGTCAGTGGCCGCTTGATAGGTTGGTCTGTATACACGGCGACTGCATGTGCCAAAAAGTAGGGCTTCAATTTTTTAACAGCCATGAAGAGTGCAAGACCAAATTTCTCCACTAAGGGATACCTCAACTTGGCATTTTTCAGCACGTGACTGACAAAGTAGACCGGGAGCTGACAGCCGTCTCTTTCAGCAAGGAGAACAGCGCTTAACGCATGATCAGAGACGGCCAGGTACATGTAGAGTACTTCTTTGGGCAAAGGGCTGACCAGCCTCGGCAAGGAATGCAAGTGAACTTTCAATTTCTAGAAGGCGGCCTCAGCATCCGGCCCCCATTCAAACCTTGCCTTTTTCTTAATTGCCTGGAAAAAGTATAAGCATTTGTCGCCTGATCGGCTTAGAAATCTTCCCAAGGCCGCCAGAGAACCTGTTAACTTCTGAACCTCTCGGATGGTACGAGGCGACTGCATGTCAATGACCGCCTGCACCTTCTCAAGGTTCGCCTCTATTCCTCTCTGATTGATAAGGAATCCGAGAAATTTCCCAGACTCAACCCCAAATACACATTTCTTGGGATTGAGCATGACATGGTGCCGCCTGAGTGTGGCGAAAGTTTCTCGGAGGTCCGACAGATGATCTTTCTGAAGTTTAGTCTTGACAATCATATCATCAATGTATGCCTCGACATTTCTCCCAATCTGATCAAAGAACACAGTGTTTATCATTCGCTGGAAGGTAGCCGGGGCATTCTTAAGACCAAACGGCATGACCGTGTAACAGTATAACCCCTGATCAGTGACGAAGGCCGTCTTCTCCTGATCTTTCTTCCACAAAGGAATTTGATGGAAACTAGAGTAGGCGTCCATAAAGCTCATCAAAGCATGGCCGGCTGTTGAGTCGACCAGGTTATCAATTTTAGGCAGAGGGTAACTGTCTTTGGGGCACGCCTTGTTTAAGTCTGTGTAGTCTACACACATTCGCCAGGTGTCATTCGGCTTTTTAACAAGCACCACATTTGCAACCCAGTCTGGGAAGTAACATTGCCGAATGAACCCTGCATCAAGTAATTTTTTAACTTCGGCGGCTGCCGCTTGACTTCTTTCTTCGCCATGGTTCCGCTTCTTCTGCCGTACCGGCTTCTTTTTCGGATCCACGGCTAATTTATGTACCGCCAGATCAGGACTAATGCCTGGCATTTCATGGACTTCGAATGCAAAGATGTCCTTGTATTCTTTCAATAGTTTGTGAAAGTCGTCACCAAGGTCTTTCAGAGCAGTCGTCCCAACTTTGACTGTTCGCTCAGGACGTGAGTCGTCTAAGATCAAGTCCGTATGCTCACCAGCCGGCTGAGGGCGGAATTCATCCGACCGCTCCTCTGCCAATGATTGCTATTTTTTGTCTTTTCTTGCGGCCCCTGTCTGGGATGCCTTTCTCTTCTTGCCGCCTGCTTTCTGAATAGGCGCACTTTCATTGACTTTGTCAAGGTCTGTTTTTCCACCAGTCGACCCAGTGGCCATAACAGTAGGCTTGACATCCGAGAGATAACACTCTCGGGCCATCCTCTGATCTCCCCTTAGGGAGCCGACTGTTCCATTATCCCTCTCAAACTTGAGCAACATAAGAGATGGGATTATAACAGCCTTGGAATTATTCAGGGTTGGTCGTCCCAGAATCATGTTGTAGGCCGAGAGTTCTTCTACTACCAGGAACCGGACTACCATGTGTCGTCCTTCCCCTTTTTCGCCCAGGCGGATAGGTAAATCCACTCGTCCCACTGGGTGGACGACTCCTCCTCCAAACCCTACTAAAGGATGGGAGGCCGGATGTATGCAATCAGTCTGATATTTTAGTTTCGACAGACATTTGCTACTGATGACATCTGAGGAGCTTCCGGTATCTATGAGGATTCGGCCAACTCTCTGGTTGGCCACTTTACATTCAATAACGATAGGGTCGTCATGCGGCCCTCTTACCCCTCCTAGATCTTCTTTAGTGATGACAATCTCAGGAAATGAATATTTGGAGGGCCGTTCTTGGTGAACGGAATTTACATCTAACCGTCTGATATTGTCTTTGTTGCCCCTAATAGTGGGGCCGCCTCCTGAGAAGCCGTCTGCAATGGTGTAGACGACTGCATCATCTGTATCGGAGCTGTCGGCCTGTTGATTCTTTTTGGTCGACTGCTTTATCGAGGAAGTGTTCCCCGTAGATTTCTTGACATAAGTGTCAAGATCACCTTGCTCAGCCAGGCGGTCCAGATACCGCATGAGACTGATGCAATCATTGGTGTGATGACCAACATCTTCATGATAAGCACAGAATTTATCTTGGTTCCGGTTGTTTGCAGAACCCTTCATGGGGACCGGCTTCTCAATTGAGATCCGTCCCTTGATTTCTTTTAGGATAAACTGGTTATCCTTGTTAAACGCATACTTTGGGGAGTATGGTTTGAATTCTTTTTTCTTTTTCTGAGCCGGCTGTTTAGAGGGATCAGCCGCCCAGACCTCTTTTCTCTTCTCGTCTTTGTTTGACGACTGTTTCTGTCGTCCTTCTCTTTTGTCGGACCTTTTCCCGTCCGACTGTTTTACCGTACAAAGATCAGTCGCCTGTATATAGGCTTCCGCTTCAATCAAGGCCTCTTGAAGAGTCGCCACCCTCTTTCGGACCAAATCAAATTTGAAGGTCGGCCCGTCCTTGAGACCTCTGAAAAAGTCAGTATAGGCTACTTCATCCGGTAACCCTTGAATCTGTATTCTCATCAGGTTAAACCGCCTGATGTAAGAACGAAGCCCCTCCTTCTCGCCCTGCTGAATTGTTCCTAAATCAAGGGTCGTCTTCTTCGCAGGGATGTTCATGGCGAAGTTGGAGGTGAATAAGTAAGCAAGCGTCCTGAAGCTATTTACACGACCAGTCGGCAGGTTGCCGAACCATTGTTGTGCGATTCCTTTGAGAGTCGCTGGGAAACACTTGCACCAAGTGGGATCATCCAACCCTTGAAGGTACATCAGGTTGGTGAAGGCCATAAGATGGTCTTCTGGGTTAGTAGTGCCGTCATAGGCGCTTACTAATACATTTTTCACTTTGGCCGGCTGAGCGGCTTCAGTAATTTCCTTGGAGAAGGCCGACGGCTGTTCACCAAGTCTAAGCAACCGTAGCTGCCAGTCCATAGGTTGGACGTTTTTTGCTGCATGTCCACCAAACGGAGGTGGCTGCAAAAAATACTGTTGTTGCGGTACAAACGGTAAGTTTGGTACCGCCTGGTCGCTATGAAAGCCGGACTGACGGGAGGTGCCGCCTGACTGACTCTCATGATACGACTGAGTATGCCTCATTGAGGTATTTCGCAGACTGTCTTGGAAGTTTGAAGTAGAGGCCGACTCTGACAATCGGTCACTCTTCTTCTGCTCTAGCAGTAGCCGCGTCTGTGTATGATTTCCTCGACCCGTCCGCCTGAATATGACAAACAGGTTTCCTATTTCCTGGAGTAGGAAAACGGTATTTTGTGAAATCAAGGGCAGTCGGCTCCCGCTTCCTAGATTTAGGATGAGGAGTCGCCTCTCGCCCTTGAACTGGCTTCCTCTTCAGTGAAGTGGAAGGTTTCTTAGCCGACTGCTCCTTGTCCAGAGCAGGCGGCTTCTTGTTGATCAACTCTTGAATTTCTCCCTTGAAGTCCCTCATGAAGGTCATGAGTTCGTTCCTTGTGATGGGAGCAGATCCATCAGTCGGCTGCTGCCGAACAGGCGGTGCGCCTGCTGGCTCACTTCCAGTTTGAAGATGTTCCCGTTCCCTTATTTCGGTATGACGGGTACGTCGGGCCCTTAGGGTCCCGTCTGAAGCTGTGTGAGCTTCAACTTCAAATTCACTCTCAGTATCGTGGTCCGACTGAACTTGAGGGTCGTCTAGGGGACGCCTCTCTTCAGGAGTAGGTACAGACTTGGATGCCATCTCAGAAGTACTCTCCCCACAGACGGCGCCAAATGTTTCGGGGTTTTCTGATGTCCTGCGGGAGAGTTACAATTCCGAGACTGGAACCGGACGCCTGTACCTGCAAAACAACGGAGACTCCTGGTGGTGGGAGCTCCGCCTCCAACGGTCAAGTTAGTACTTGATTAAGGAGTAATTAATGCGGAAATTAAAGTGATTGGGTCTCTCTAGGTGAGAGTGTTTAATGTGAGTTTTTAGCGTAATCTGCTTTGTTAGCGTGATCAGCCTATTATCTCCGTGTAATTCCCCCTTAATGAGGATTAAGGGAGGTATTTATAACCTTGGGAAACGTGCCAATCCTAGGTTTAGGTTAACCTAGGGCTGATTGGGCTTCCCTCGGAAGTTGGGCCTGGGTGGCCGGTTATCCCAGGTGTCATGGGAAGGACACGTGTCGTGTCGTAATTGGTCCAAGGTGGACGGATCATTGCTTGACATGTGGCAGACTCCTATTGGCCCATGTGACGGACACATGGCGGAACCTGATTGGTCCACTTGTCAGATGGTGATTGGTGGGAGCAAAATCCCCTAATCAGCAGTAGTAACAGGATTGCCACCTTGGGGATTAGGATAAACCCTGAACAGGGAGGGCACTCTGAATTCTTGAGCACCCTCACCCAAAATTATCCCCCAAATATCATCCTATTCGTCTGGAGAAGTACCCATGTAGTCAAGTGCATATATTTCAAAGACTGTTAGAGAAAAACCCATGTGCATAAACATTAAGGACTCCTAGAGAAGTGCCCATGTTTTTGGACTCTAGAGTCAAACACCTGTGTATGATGTATCTTTCCTCTTGGCTCTTGTAATACAGAGCTTTTTTTGTCAGAGCATTGATTTAGAATGCAAGTGCTGCAATGACATACCAAGAAAATATTGGTGAGTGCAACGTTGCAAGGGTTTGATATGTTTATTTTTGATGATAATGAAACGAGTATGGCCTAATTTCCCCACACCCTAGACCCGTCAAAGCCTAGACTTAAAAAGTAAGGAGAAAAAAGAACATTCTTCTCCCAAAAGATCCTAGCAAGGATAGCTAGATGAACTAACAGGATGAACCTATGTCAATTGACATCCAAAAAAATTGTTTGCATCACCTGTTCTCAGCCACTTGGACTGGGTCATTTAGGCTGTCCAGCCTGTATCGTCTGTACTGAAAGCTACCCCATTTTTGGCATTCTAGTCTTCTTGGTCCCGCTTCCAGGGATGAAAATGGAAAATGACAGCCTTAGTGCAGGGCATTAGACACTCAATATGATGGTACTTGCTCCTAAGAAACTTTCAAATCCCTTTCTAGCCTTTTTGGGCTGTAAGTAGGAAAAAGGTATATTTAGTTGGCTGACCACTTGTTGAACATATAGAACAAAAACACAGAACAATCTCAGGAAAAAGAATTTACTCTTTTCTTCTCTAAAACTCTACTCCGTAAAATTATGCACCAAAGAAAATTTATACAGTGGATTTTTATCATTTTGGTAAGGGAGAGTTGAGGAAAAGGTTAATACGACTACATGATTATAGATAATGAAGCATTCTTTTAGTGACACCCTTTAAATGAAATTGTACTATACTTCGTATATTCTTAGAGTTGGAGGGAGTATGAGCACTAGTGCACTACTGTGCAAACAGTCTCTTCTCGACCATGCTGTAATAATTTTCAGGTTTTCTTAACATCAGCCCCCTAATAAAGATTATGCCACATTTGTTGAGAGTAAGTTTTTTTCCAAATTTTACTAATTTAAACCTTTTGTCTTCTCATATTATCCTTTATACTGTATTATTTGAGGATTTTTGATAGACTACATTAGTGTATGGTGGTGGAGGCATAAATTTTACATAGTACGGTATGGTTATGATGTATAATATGATTCTCAATCAAATACTCCGTATGACTCACGAAGTACTCGTATTTTAGAAACAATGGGATGGGAGTAGTATATATAATTTCTATTTTAAAAAATGAAAAGTCAGGTGCCTAACAATCATATATCTGTATAACCTTTTATCTAAATAATACTTGTATATTTTTTTTAAAAATCAGGATAATATGATGTTTCTGAGAGTAGGTAGAAATTTATTAATAAAGCACAAAAGACAGAAGGTAACGTTCATAGAACTTTTAGACCATAATAGGGAAATTCCTGCTTCAGAAGAAGCCATATGCTTAACCTAATGAGTACAGAAATTAAAAAATGGTGAATAATGAAACAACTTAGCACTTTGTCCTAAAGTAATGTGTTTAATTTTTCTTGTAGTGGTGTTCTTGATAATAATGGGTGCATGTGAGTGTTGTAGGTCCAGATTATTTTACCTTTTTGCTGACCACAAAAAATTATTGAATATATGCAGTGCTACCTAAAGCTTGTAAAGTACTCACCCATGCTTCGTCCCACTCAGGATAATGTGGTAATTACCTTGGTTCTCCCACTATCTTTCTTCTTAGTGCACTTTCTTGCATTGTCCAAGACTATTCCTCTCTTCGGAATTAATTGTCACGTATTCTTGGTATTCGGCAAAAACATCTCCTATCTTAGTACATTAATAATTTACTACTCCGTAAGCCCGTAATGAGTTTTGTGATATCTTGGTGTTTTTAATTTAGAGAAGTTGGGAAATGTGACAAATTAACAACTATTGTCAAACCGATGTTCACATTGCAATAGTAAGTATTTATAAATTATGAGCATCATTATTCACAGCTCAAAATCATTCAAGACCAGGAATCAACAACATAATGCAGTCTTAATTACTGTTATGAATTGGAAAAAAAAAAATGACTTTATGATCCCAAGTACAAGTTATTACCTTAATTCATGAATGTTTATGAATAACATAAAGATCTGAAATCATGAAATTTAATTAATGTATGATTAGACTTGAAGCACCTCAACCAATTTGGTAATGGACTAATTATTACTCCTTATCTTGTGAAATATTAAACCACTCATTAACCTAATCTCACAGGATAAATTGATTTTTTTTTTTCACCCTATCAAAAAAAGATATGTGGTCCTACACTAATGTCCAATTTTCAAACATAACATACTATACTAGCCATAGGAGCATCAAAGCTCGTCAATCACGGGCTACCTTGACAACTTTTGTTACATTTTCCATACACTCTCAAAAGGTTAACTGACAGAGAATTTAGTTAGTAGTAGTAGTTCTACTGACTGTCATTTCTTCAAGAACAAGCATGATACTTCCTGCTTAATTTCACCAACTCTTTCAACATTATCCTTGTCCTTGAGCCATGTCTTTTCCAGCACCGGCCGCATCCCCGGAGATCGATGTTGGAGATCCGACATCACTCCCTGAACTACTACCTCCGTCGCCAGGAAATGATGAAGTTACCTCTCCTCCTGCACCATCTGTCACATTACCAATATCAGTACCTTCTCTACCACCAGTGGTAGCACCCCCACTACCAGCAGTAGTAGGAGGAACAACTCCTCCTGCACCTTCTCCCATTCTTTCACCTCCTCTTCCTACACGTACATTACCTCCGAAGTCTCAACCGCAGCCACAACAACCTGTTTCTTCACCGCCAAATACACCTACAAACATCCCACCACCAGTAAGAACATCCCCACCAAATGTTATTTCTCCTACACCTAGTAAACCAATTAATACAAACCCACCACAAAAAGAAACACCACCCAAAAAAGAAACTTCACCACCAAATATCATTTCTCCTCCACTTAGTAAACAACCTGACATTAAACCATTACCACCTACTAGTAATCCAACTGTTACTCCCTCACCTCCATCAACACCAACATCTTCCCAGCCACCCGTAATCCGGCCTGCAGCTCAACCAACCCCATCTAAACCAGGCCCATTAAGACACCAAGCCACTCCAACAACACCAAGACCACCATCACATCTTCCTACTTCTGCTGTCCTTCCTTCCTCACCTCCTGTTGCTCTACCAGTTCCACAGACGCCGGGTGGTGGAGCATGGATTCCCTTTTCATCAGAATCTCCTGCGCCGCTTCCTTTACTTCCTAGCCCGCCTGGAACATTAAGCTCCTCTGCAGCTCCCCTACATGATCATGGTAGTAACAATGGAGGCTTAGTATCATCATCATCAAGTGATCATCAGAACATTCAGGCTGCTGCTGTTGAACCAAAGGGGTCTAATAACGGCGCTAGTGGGTTTGTTGTGGGATTGGCTATTGGTGGGATTTTGCTTCTGCTTCTTGGAGTTGTCTTTGGCATTCTGTTTGTCTTTTGTAGGAGAAGAGAAAAAAAGAAGTTTGGTGATTATGGATCTGGAAGAAAACATGCAACTTCATTCACTGGGTATGAAGGTAAATCAGTTTGATTTTTCCTCTCCTCAGTAAATTGCTTAGCATTTAACATGCAAAATTCTTTGAAACAACGATGTCGAAACCTTAATCCTAGAAGGATGGGGTCAGCTGCATGATTCAAATTTGAGGCTTTAATTTCAGATATTGAATTTATCTTAGATTTATTTTTTGCTTAAGGATAATTGGATTAGGTATAAAATCTCAGTCATACATATTTGCTGATGTGCAATTCCTTTTGCATGCCCCCGGTTTACAATAATTTTATTGTACATCGAACATTTTGCGAAAAGTGACCCTTTTTTCTTACAAAAGTGACCCATATTTTTTACAAAGTGACTCATATATTTACAAAAGTGACCCTTTTTTTTCACAAAAGTGACCTTTTTTTTCTACAAAAGTGACCCTTTTTTCACAAAAATAACTTCTTTTTTCACAAAACTGATCATTATTTTACAAAAGTGACCTTTTTTTCACAAAAGTGACCTTTTTTTCTACAAAAGTGACCCTTTTTCACAAAAATAACTTCTTTTTTCACAAAAATGATCATTATTTTACAAAAGTGACCCTTTTTATCACAAAAGTGACCCTTTTTTTTCACAAAAGTGACCCTTTTTTTTACAAAAGTAATTAAGCTACAAATGCAAAACAGAGTATCAAAATCAAAATTCTTAAAAAAAAAAAAAGTATCAAAATCAAAATCGAAGAAACCCAGCAAAATTAGAACCTCCATTTTTACGAACAAACCCAACTCACCCACAAATATTGAACCACCGCCATTTTCAAACAAGCCCATTCAAACTTGTTCGAGCACCGCCCATTAGGCAGCCTCCAACACTGCGTGTCTGCGTGACTGTACTTCTGGAACTTGAGCGGCAACAATGGCGACACTTCCGACGGAGATAATCACAGAGATTCACTCACAATTACCTATTAAATCAGTTGTACACTTCAAATGCATCTATAAATTCTAGAATTCCTTAATCAAAACACCCAATTTCATCCAACTTCATCTCAATCAACCCTTAATTTCCAACTTTGATCGTCATCTCCTCTTCTGTTATCAATCTCTTTATTCTGCAGAATTCGACCATGACAAGATCTCTTTCTTAGAGGTCCAGCTCCCACTCTCAATTCAGGGAGTTCAGGTGTTTGGGTCTTGCAATGGCATCATTTGCATTGAAGAGAGAAATAAAAGCAAATTGAAGAGAGAGAAAGCTTTCAGCAATGGCCTTGATTAGAGCAAAGTTCATAAAAGAGAATGAGGAGAGAGAAGTAATTTTGGGGAAAAGTCACGTGTGAAATTATTTAGGGAATGAAATTCTTCCTCTTCTTTCTTGCCACACAATAAAATAGCGTAAACCCGCTTTTTTAAAATATTTGTGTTCAATGTGATGGTCCCCTTTTAAATGAGTTACAAAAGTTTCTATCTTAATAACATATTGCATCATCAAGTCTTGGAATTCCTCAAGTATATAATACTAATCTTGATTTGTACTCTAGTATGATTCAATATTTGAAGCATCTATGCTAACATTTTCTTTTTCTTAATTTGATTGATTGATTAGAAAAAGGTTCATTACCCCAGTACACAAAGCAGGATTCTAATAACACTCAAGGGCTCCAAAGTGTGATCAATGTAAGTACTCCTAAGGGGCCAATCATGGATACCGGTGGCAACTCTCCGGTGACTAGGGGACCTACTTCTGGGAGTGGGCACGCCCTATCAAGCGGGACTTTCACGTACGAAGAGTTACTGAGGGCCACCAATGGGTTTTCAGAGCAGAATTTGCTTGGACAAGGCGGTTTTGGGTATGTGTTCAAAGGGTTCCTTCCGAATGGGAAGGAGGTTGCAGTGAAACAATTGAAGATAGGAGGGCATCAAGGAGAAAGAGAGTTCAGAGCTGAAGTTGAAACAATTAGCCAAGTTCATCATAAGCATCTTGTTTCCTTGGTTGGGTATTGCATTTCTGGTTCTGAACGATTGCTTATTTATGAGTTTGTGCCCAACAATACATTGGAATTCCATTTACATGGTAAGTTGATCAATCAGTTTTTTCTTCTTCATTCGTTTAGCATGAAATTTCAAGTAGATCATTGTACATTTGAGCACATAATCTTGTCTGGTATAATTAAAATACAATAAAATTGCAGGAGAAGGGCAACCTGTTATGGATTGGCCTACTAGATTGAAGATTGCAATAGGCTCTGCGAAAGGATTAGCATATCTACATGAAGATTGTGAGTATTCCTTTGCCTAATAGATTCACAAGTAGCGCCTTTTAATTTCACTTACTTTTGTTAATGTGGAATATATACAATTTGTTGCAGGTAGTCCTTCTATCATTCATCGGGATATAAAAGTTGCAAATATCCTCCTTGACTTTAACTTCGAGGCAAAGGTGAGAATATGCCCTGTACTCCCACCATCTTTGGATAATATTTCAGAAATTCTATGTCTGTATGACAGTATGAATCCAAAAAATATTCATCCTATGCTTTCATGCTGAGCTTAAGGTCTTTTCTTCAGGTTTCTGACTTTGGATTGGCAAAAATTTTCTCAAGTAGTAATCCTTCTATTACCCACATGACAACTCGAGTTGTAGGAACTTTTGGGTAAGCATTCTTAACATGATCAAACATACATGTGCTGATATCCTAGAGCCTGAGTTGAGCTCAAGCAATAAACATTTGCTTTCTTTTCACCTTCTGAATGTCTAGCATTCGACTTTCAAGATAAAAGTTAATCATTTACCTTTTTCTTTTTCATAATTTGCTATCATGCATAATTGCAGATATTTAGCTCCTGAATATGCATCAAGTGGTAAAGTTACTGATAAATCAGACATTTATTCATATGGGGTTATGCTCCTTGAGCTTATCACTGGCCGTCCACCTATCAGCAATTTTGGAACTGCTGCGTGTGGAAGTTTGGTTAATTGGGTAATTTTCCTTCCAAATTCTACTATGTGCTTCCCTTATACTGCAAAGTCCTATGGTGGAAACTGAGAATTTTGTTTTTGATGCTACAAAATTTGATAAATAATATAGGCTCGGCCCCTATTGGCACAAGCTATTGGAGATGGGAAATTTGATACTCTAGCTGATCCAAAATTACAAGATGATTATGATGTCGATGAAATGTCTAGTATGGTGTCCTGTGCTGCTGCATGTGTTCGCCTTTCTGCTTGGCGTAGGCCAAGAATGAGCCAGGTAAATCTGATCCCCGTGACCCCATCAATTCATCACGGCTTTGAAGACATTCCTTATACTACGTATATAAGTGAACTTTTGAAAATGATGAACATTTTTATTGCAACTTTTGATAGAGCTCTCAAATTCGCAGTTCATTAGTTAACACATATTGGCATAACCAAACCTTTTCAAAACAGTTTCTCGAAATTTGATCATGAACTGTATATGAATGCAGGTGGTACGTTCCTTGGAGGGCAACCTTTCAGCATCTGAGCTTGATGATGGAATTAGACCAGGACAAAGCTCAATGCATTTTCCCTACGAAAGCTTAGATTTTGATGCACGAAACTACATGGAGGATATGAAAAGAATGGCCTTGACTAGCAATACAACCACTCCTAGTAGATATAGCGAGAACACTAGTGAATATGGTCTGCTCCCTTCTCCCTCAAGCACTGATACTAGACAACTCAATTACTCAAGAGGCTGATATCTTGGGATTATGTGCTAGCTACGTAAATATTGGAGAAGCGTAAGGAAAAGAGGATGGGAAGCTATAAGGATAAGAAAACCCGGACAATATCCAAATTCTGTGGGAATATCTCATTCAGATAATTAGAAATTGATAGAAATCTCCATTTTATTCTTTGTTTGTTCTGGGGAGAAAAGGTATGTTTTCTGTGAAGATTAGGATTAGTTGGATTTTCAAGTACATAGTCACATAAATGAGTTATTCCTAGGGATGCTACACGAACAAGTATTGTAGTGAAAGTGATTATAATTTGTAGATTAAGCATGAAGTTATGAGTTCTGGTTTGTTTTTACATTTTTGTTGCCAGAATTAGAGCAATTCTTGATAATTTCTTTTCCCCATTTTTTTTTTTTTTTTTCTAAATATCGGCCTCCTGACAATCTTCCGTAAGTACATAAATAACTTGACTGTGATTTCCCCCTTCTTGTGCTGGATGGTGCTGTTAAAACAGCTAAGCTTTGAAGTACAGCAAAGTTCTGTTGGATTAATTTAAGCATTACTAAGATCTAGTTTTTTGAAATTTTGTACACTGCTAATTAATTATACTGGTATATTCCATATGAACTGTCAACTGTCAAAAGGTTGACGTTTGAAGCTGTATTTTTCTGCAGCATTCCTTACTATTTTTTAGAACCAAGTTAAAGTTAGTATTGACAGCAACTAAGTGACTGACATTTCAATAGCACTTCATTGTACTGGTAAAACAGAACCATGTGATCACAAATTGTTTTAGAATCGACAGCATTATATGTTTGGTGATTGCAAATATTGAAACACTTCCATAGAGACTGAGCGAGAAGTCGAGGAAGCTTGTGAACTTGTCCCGACTCATAGGCATCTTACAAATGTATGTGTATTCTATCTGGCGTTCCTGGGGATTATGCCAAGTATTGAGCAGATAGTCTCCTGTTGTATCTTTCGGTGTAGGACTCATAGAAGGCGATGATGATGATGAGATTCAATCTCAAATCATTAACACCCATATAGTGACCAACTTTCATCAAAATTGCTCAATGTTTCTTACGACTTTGCACTATTATGTTTTGGAAAAAGTCAAACATAACTCCATCTTCAACATCAATTTTTTTTAGTAATTGGTTCATTCTGTTATTTAAATGACACTCATGAACATAAAGTGTACATGCTATGCATGTATGCATCAGATCAAAAAGCATCACTAATTTTATTGGCGTAGAGAGAGCCACAAAAGACAATGATGTAGACGAGATTTGATTTCAAATTTGCATATCACCCTCAAAACTTTAACCAGCTAGAATAGCTGACATCCATACCAAAATCAAATTGTATTAACCAATTTAATCGTGTATAATTGACTATAGTCATCGAGACACATTTTCAAAAATGAAATTCAAATCAAATACTAGTCTTGGACAACCACACAAAAGAATACTCCCTAATAGGAAGTTTATTAACCTTTCCATTTCATACATTAAATATAATCTCCTATAATTTGAACAATAATCTCGCTCCACACACCCCACCTCTTTCTCTTTCTCTCTCTTCTTTGCAAGGCAAGCAAAACTCACACAGTATATTACAAGATTCAAAAACAAATCAAAAGTTCAAATTTTTGGCAAATTTTGAAACTTTTCATCTCAATTTTCACTAATCATGGCGTCTCGCCGCCGAATGCTTTTGAAGGTCATCATTCTTGGTGATAGTGGGTGATTCCCTTCTTTCTTTTTTTTTGTCATCAATTTCATTAAGATGAAAAACAATTGAACAATTTTTCCCTAATTTGATCGTAATGATTACAATTTTATCCATTATTGTTGTGATCTTTGATTTTTTTTTGTTGGGTAATTTTTGTTTGATTTGATTTGCAGTGTTGGAAAAACTTCGTTGATGAATCAGTATCCTTTTCATCATTTTTGTTTTGATTTGATTGATTGAAACAATTTTTTTTTCTGGGGATAATGTTTATATTGTATGATATGGTTTAGCCTTAATGTATGTGATCAGATTTGTGAATCATAAGTTTAGTAATCAGTACAAAGCCACAATTGGGGCGGATTTCTTGACAAAAGAAGTTCAGATTGATGATAGGCTTTTCACATTGCAGGTGAATTATCTGCTGCTTTTATTATTCTTGAATTTTTCGTTATTTAAATGTGTCCTCTTGTGCATGATTTAGTGATAGACCATTCGAATTACTGGTGTTGTGATGTTCATAATCAATGGAAATTTTCTTTTATTGATACTGAAACATTGTCTAGAACATCTGTTTTTGAATGATATTACTCAAGTAAAAGTATTATATGTTCATAATATCACTTATATGTAGTTTGTTTGTTGTTGGGAGAGTTATTGTCGCTTGTTTATCTGATTGTTGGGAGAAATTAGATAAGCAAAGAGGCTTAGTATCAATAGTTGTTATTTATACTAAAATTTTAGTTCAATGCTGAAATTCATATGTACATTCTAAGGTTTGATTAAGAGATACAAAGTTCAGTAAGTTAATTGAGGTATTTCTTGAATATATGACTTGGAAATTGACCAGACAGCCTAGATACTGTTCTCTTATAGTCTGGAAGTCTTTGCAAGCATATGTTAGTAATGCTTTATTCTTTGGAGCAGTTATACATGTAGGAAATAATTGGATTGAAGTGTGATTCATAACATACTCAGCAAAAAAGAAAAGGGTTCGGCTAACATAAGCTTGCAGTGCACCTTTTGTATAAGCCTTTTTGTGGATTCGGACTAAGTTAAGTGGAGATCACTAAAGCTTGCTGTATGTTGGTACCTAATAATAATTCAAACCTGGAAAATTTGATGGAGCAAAACAAACCTGACCCGACTGAAATTTTCCTGGTTTTATCTGTAGTAAGATTACTGATGATGACTAACCTTGAAAAAGAGAGACATTATGGTTACTAGGGATATTATTGTATTGCTCTAGAGTCTAGTAATATCTTGAAGAAATAAATTCTTGATGCAAACTGTTTAGCACATCACCACTGAAACATCAATGCCCTGTAGCACTCTGCTCTCTAGAGAATAACCACCACCACTTGGTACAGATCCAGGATTTCGGGTCATCCAGCCATGGGTCAAGGTCTGGGGAGGTTTAAATGTACATACTTTTACTGACTTGCTAGAGAAAATATTGCTAAAACATTTACAATTTATTTGAAAAAATATCTCACGGAATGTGGGTGTTTGGATTGCCTTTTTGCTCTAATATATAGATGCTTTATGACAAGAATTAGTTCACTTGAAATATTGATTGATTGTTGAAAGTGTGTATGGCACACGCACATCCAAGCTATATACGTAGGGGGCGTAGGAATGTAGGATGACATATGTTATAGGGAGATATAGATGTTTGAATACCTTTTGTACACTCAATGTCTGCTTAGGTCATCGGTTACAAAATGGTGTGCTCTGGACTGGTCTTGCTATTCATCAGACAATGTCTTTTGTGATCTTGCCCACATGTCTTCTTCTTTTTCTTTTTTTTTTTTTTTTTTCTTTTTTGGGGTAGTTCTGTATTGTCCTGCCTGCAGTATTCTTGTGATTTGTTTCATCACATCTTTTTGCCCCCTTTCATGTATGCTATATGTGGATTCAATGTGGGTGTGGTTATAAAAAAATAAATAAATAAATAAATAAATAATTAAAAAAATAACGTTAGATTAATGATAATCTGAAGTTCCTCCTTTTTTCTGGCAACAAATTATGATTTTGTATATAAATGAATGTTATATAATATTAATCACCGAAGAAAGAGTATCTCCATTTTTATTTCCTCTAACGTGACCTCTTTTTCTTATATTAGATGAATGTTGCATCCTCGTGATCCATTAGATATGTTGCTTGTTGCAGTCTCCATTTTGCTACAACTTGCTCTACCTCACTCCTCTTTAATTTTGTGATCATATCATTGGTATGGGAATGCAACCCCCTCCCCCTCAAATAAAAATGTGTGCATCTTTGTGACGGGGAGTAGGGAGGCAGAGGCATCTATATCGTTGAATTCATAATATAAATTTAGTGCAGGATGTTATGGGTGGTTGAGTTAGATTGTATTGGTTTTCAGGTTTACTTTCACACTATCTTCTGCAGAAAGATTAATTTATTAGTTTTTGGCAGGATCATATGGGGAAGTTGTGGTACTAGAATTGCAAATTCGTTTTGTTGTCTGTTCTCTTTGCCAACCTTATTTATTAGATGGGAATTGTGAAAATTGGTGTATATCACTTGTTTAGTCATTTTATGGGCAGCAGTTTTAAGCTTTAAGTATTAGGCTCTACTATGCAGCTTATCTGCAAGATAATCTTTCAATTTCATCTGACCCTGTAGTCCGGATTTTCTTTTATGCTCCTCATTTTCCAGTTTGGAATTTTTCTTTGTTCGCATTTTAATGATTTTTCCATACTGAAAAGGTGTGTCATTTTTTCAGATATGGGATACAGCTGGACAGGAGAGGTTCCAAAGTCTTGGTGTTGCCTTCTACCGTGGTGCAGACTGTTGTGTGCTTGTGTATGATGTTAATGTCACAAAATCATTTGATGACCTTAACCGATGGAGGGAAGACTTTTTGTTACAGGTAATTGTTGATGAGCTCTTTTTTTTTTTTTTGGCCATTTTATTGTTCTTGTCATAACTTCTCTTTTGTTACTAATTGCAGGCTAGTCCACATGACCCTGACAACTTCCCGTTTGTTGTGTTAGGCAACAAAATAGATGTGGATGGTGGAAACAGCCGAGTGGTAAGATCATTTTGTCTATCTGTGGTGTCTTTGGTTTGAGATGATCAATAGTTCAATACACATTAATCTTAGGGCATATTGTGTTTTCACATATTGGGCATTTTTTCTGTACTGCTCCATTGCTTCAGTGCCAGTGGTAATACAAGTTAATATGATTGTCTCTAGGTGTCTTCTAAGAAAGCAAAGGCTTGGTGTGCCTCCAAAGGAAATATTCCCTACTTCGAAACTTCTGCAAAGGATGGTACCAACGTTGAAGCTGCTTTTCAGTGCATAGCAAAGAATGCCATTAAAAATGAGCCTGAAGAGGATACGTGAGTTTAATTATCATATACTCTATACTCTCCAACTTCATTGGTTTCAATTGTCTATTCTATCACTTTGCCCTTCAAGTTGTCTTTGTTCTCTTACTAAATTACAATGCTATGCATGGTATAGAATATTCTTACTTTAATTAATGAGCACTTAAAAACCTATTGTGCCTGTATTTTAATTTTTTTCCCCTTTTGCTTTCGACGAATACCCGGCGGAGCCATTTCGTTTTTTTCAATTAATGAATATTTTTTATTTTGATTTCAAGATGAAAGAACTCACTTTCTACCAAAATA